ATCATTGGTATATGTAAAGTACTTATTGAATACAGCGGTTTTTTTGTCAAATTTCGGGTAAGTATGTGTTTTTATCTATCGTGAAAATTTTTAGGGTTCGTGTTCTCACACCGTATACTAACTAATCAGTGTATATCCGCAATTTTACTATATATTTATTACAAAGTGATTGTTTCAACGCTTTCACTGTTATGCGGAGTCATTCAAAGCCATTTGAGGTTGCATCGACTCTTAACGTATGTCAATTGTGTAAAGATCAGCGCAAACCGAGAAGCGAGAGCATTGAACAGTATTTTATGTCCGCCAGCTAGTACCAGGGGGAATGCCGTGGCGTCCGCCGACATGCCACCCGCGTATGTCGGTGGAAGTCCGCGCACCTGTCTCTGCGGTGTCCTCTAGCGTGTTGAAATTGATACCCTATTTAAATTGAAATAAGGTACAAAATGTATATTGATAAATTTACTGTCCTCTGCGTTTCTGTCCGCCGTTTTACGCTTGCCCTAACGTACAAATTAGACTAAACTAGCCAAAAAATAGGCATGTTCCGGAGAATTTTCGCGTAGTTTCAGAAATTCCCTTAGCAATCGTGTCTAATTTAGACGTTACACAATTAACATAACGTTCATTATGCTACGGTTACAAAAGTTCGTTTCTATTGCATTCCGCGACAACGTAAATTGAACCTAAGTGTCAGCGCAAACCGGCAGACTGCAAGGCAAAGGACACTAAATTTATCTTATCTTATTTCTGTTGAAATAGCATCAAATGTACATCGGTAAATTTAATATCTTCTGCCTTCCCGTCCGCCGGTTTGATGGGTACGATGCGACTGGGGGCCCCAACTGCTGGAGTTATTCAATCTGTGATGTCCGTCTTAAAACTTGCACCTTACATCAAATGATGTAAGTAGTGCAAATGAAAAACTTGAATGTATCTTTTACAGATTCATAGAAAGGTTCATATTCGATGGTGAACTTGATGACCGATTCGACGAGTTCTTTATACGAAAAGATTCTCAATACGTAAACACTCGTTCAAAGAGATATTGGGATAAAGGATTTCATATAATTCAAACTGTGGCAGTGCCAGAGTTCTTGAGACCATTGGCGAAGTTTATATTGCTTTGTGGAAAATCTTTACGGCTGTTGAAACAATGTAACCCGAGTGTAAGTCATTTGTACGATACTTCGCATATGTCGTTCTGTTTTGTGAATTAAAACCGTGTTCCAGCGGTGTACAATTTGACAATTGTTCAGGTGTGTTCGTACGAAACAGAACGTCGCCTATGCCTATATTTCGTTTATTTTAGCAACAGAAGGAAGTTTTGGTTCTTTAATCAGTTGCCATTTCATTCTGTTATTTTGTAAACAAAGCAATTTAATAAATACCGTTAAACGAAATTCTCAAACATATTCACAAAATCACCATTATATTATAGTCGTTGAAAATCAAATACAAAGATCCAATAAACAAGCACATAGAAAAATTTGTTCATAACTGGTTCGTTCCGTGGCTTAGTTGGCATAGCTTCTGGCAGGGTTTGCTAGAAGACGTCGGTTCGAATCCTGCCGGATCGAAGGAATTTTTTCTAAGTGTTCGATCTTGTATTCAACTGCCTCTGTGGCCGAACGGTTACCATGCCGGACTGCCACGCAGAGGTCCCAGGTTCGATTCCCGGGCCGGGAGAAATATTTGTATGGCCTACAATTATTTCTCTCGTGAGTTTGGGTGTAATTTGTGGTTGTCTATATGTGTGTCCATGGCACCCGCGACACAGGGTTTCCCTAGTGCGGGGCTATCTTGAGTGTGTGCGTTATTATTATTATTATTATTAATAATTATAACAAACTAGTGGAGTAATCTCACAAAATAATGGTTTAATATCAATTCAATACAAATTTAATTCATGTTAACAAAACTTTTGTAATTATTACGTTTCTTTTACTCGTAGTGTTCACTAGATTGAATGAAAACTTTTTATCTTTACATACTTAATCTAACATACTTAATCTATTAGAAAAAACTTGGACTATAATGGCGGCACTTCACATGACTACTTGTATTCGTTATCTGGTGCTTGATGTATGTACTTGTAAAAGTATTTGACGTACAAACATGCCACACAAGACACTGACAAATATGATCGTCTACATATGGAGCCAAATAAGGAGTTAAAATAATGAATATGGCCATAGTGTGAACGGCTTACTTGAGTATTTGTCTACTCCTTTGATGAGCGTCGAGAAACCGACCAGCGCGCGGTAACGTGTTTGGTGTTTGCTGTATTTGTCGAATAGGCAAACATGGCAAATACTTTCTCACACATGCTATCTACACATGGTGATTGTTTGCCAAATATATCAAATACGCAGATACAAATAGCCATGTAAAGTGCCACCATAAAAAAGAACTTAGAAAAACAGGCTACAAACATGAAACAATAATAACATATTATATTGTCATTTATAAACGTCATTTCGAAGAAAAAGTTTATGATTACTGTTTTTTGTTTACCTTTTTTCTAATTCTAAAAAAAACGTAGAATAAGGCAAGACTACTTATCGTTCATGGAAGGTACTTAAATAAGTACCGCATACCAAAATGTCACTACTTTTTTGCAGAGTTCGAAATGATTGAGATATTTATTTTCTTTGATAATTATCTCATAATTATCAGTGGTGTAAACACGAAGTAAAATGATTGTGGAAACGTGACTTTAAAAAAAAATATTTGACACGTTTGGATACGTCTCTGATACATCAAACATAGCACGACATTAGTAGCGGCAGCATCCAATTCATTTTATAAGATAATTATCAAAGTATATTTATCAAGATAATTACCGTGATAATTATCATGATTGCAGTTACTACACACTACAGTTATAGTTCCCATTATGTTGTGACGCCAGATAGTCGTGCAGTTTACAGTGTCGTGTCTTGTATATTTAAATGAAGTTGATCACCTATAAAAAAAACGATTGACTGTCGTTCACGACGTTTTTGATGTTAGGGCGCGTTGCCATTATATCGTGACGACAGATAGTCGTGCAGTTTTAAAAAGTCGTAGCTTGTATATTTCAATGAAGTAATTCACACATAGAACAACACGATTAACAGTCGTACACGACTTTTTTGACGCTACGACAACAGACTGTCGTGACAATGAGAAGACCTGGAACGACAGACATGTGACGATAAATAAAACGTCAGGATAAAAATGTGACGACAGATAGTCGCAGCTTCAAACGATTCTGTAATGCAAACGACAAGGTAGTTGCCGTGAATCAATAAATTGTCATCACGATATAGTGGGGACTGCTAGACACGACAGTCGTTCAACGATAAAATAAACGTCCACGACACAGTCACGACAGATTGTCGATATGGGAACGGGCTAGTCGCGACAGTCGTCTAACGATAAATAAAACGTTGTGGGATAATGGGAACTCGCCCTTTTACCCGTTTTTTCGCCGTAACAGACTTTTTTTTACACGTTTTCACAAAGTTTTTGTACAAATCTTTTATTTGCGTTCCCCATTGACTTACAAATAAATGGACGACGGGTCTAATACAAAAACCACGAAAAAAATGTCCGAAGTCAACCTATTCGAAATTTAAATTGTAATGTCATCGCAGTATCGCGCCGTCAGTCGAACAAATGAAGACTAAAGCGGAGTTTGGCGCTCTGTATACGATTTTAGCGCCTTACAAGTGCGGACACTTTTTAGCGCGGACCCGACGTCCATATAATTGTAAGTCAATGGCGTTCCCATTTATTTTTTAGGCGTGTTAATTTTAACAATTAATTTGACTTAATTTGTATCCAACAGGATCCTTTAGTCCTGCTTATATCATCAGACCATCCATCCGTGACGTGCTGTGCGAGTTTCGAAGAATTAGAAAGGCAGCAACAAGTCCTTGATGTGTATCGTACCAGGTAGGTGTGTTATATATAGTGGTTGGATAGTCGGACGCTTATTTACCTAAACTTCACTTTTGTCTCCACAAAAAATAATACGGCCTTTCTGAATAAAAAATGTGTTATTCAAGTTAGTCAACTCCCGCAGGGCTAAAAAGACCGCATTGGTAGAATCATAATATGATTAATTGACAATTTTCATATTATAAATTTTCAAACAAAACAAAAAACGCAATTCCTTATATTAAATATGAATTGTCAATTAATCATATCATTTAGTAGCAGTAGAACTCTATGTGAAAGAGTTCGTCCAGGAAAGTACTGCCACCTTACCTATTTCTGCCGCCAAGCAGTAATGTGAGCATTACTGCGTTCCGGTTTCGAAGGGTAAGGGTGCTGGTGAAATTATGGACACATGGGGCTTGTCAACTTATGTCTCAGGATGACGGGCGCAGTGGGAGTGCTACTCAGATTTTTGCTATTTAAAGCTCTAAGTAGCACTGCAACTGTTATGGACAGGAGCAGCGTGTCGCTTACCATCAGGCGCACGACTTGTTCGTCCCGTCACTTGGCATCATAAAAAAGTGCATATTTATCATTACTATATGTATTTCAAATATCGTACAAGGTTTTGTTTTGGCGAATATAATTATTTTTTATTAGAGAAAGAAGCGAAAACTATTAATGCTTGATACAGACAAAGTCAAAGAATCATTTCTTCCATAGGTAAAATAAATTTACACTTGAAAACATCACATTTAAGCTACTGCTCGTTCACTACGCTGACTTCCCTGAGAAGAACGGGCAAGAAACTCTAGGGATTACTCTTTTCAAATAAACTTAAATGCTATGGAATACACTTTGAATCAAACTTTTGTGGATTCTGGAGCCATGTCGTCTTTCCATACATCTTTATCTAACACGTAGTCTTTAATTTTGTAATATGACTTTTCAATCAAAAACACAGACAAGAACACAAACAGACTTTCTTTCTTTCTTGCTTCAATTCTTTAAAACGGACGGTGATTCTGTTGTTGCGTTGTTTCGTCTATAAGTCTAGAGATAAGGTTTTAATTCCACACATTAATTCCGAAAAACTAAAGGTGCAAGCCCGAATTTCGGCATTGCTTCTGTTTTGTATATTCTGCGTGTTGTAAATTCTGATCTATCCAGGCTTCAAATTTGTATGCTTCAGATGTCTGTTTGTGAGCGGCGAGCCAGTTACATTCGATCAGATTCAGTTGAAGAAAGAGGCAGAGAGGAAGGCTTTCACTGAAATGGCTTCGCTGAAACAGGCTGAGACTATGGAGAAAATTGTTGGTGAGTTTTGTAGAACTAAACTGAAACTGTAGAAAGTTGCCGCTTTTCGCTCTGTATTAATATCAGCCGAGTTGTCAATGTTAATGGGATTCAAGGGGCCTTGCCAATCTTGAATCTTAATTTTGAATTTTTCAATTAATCTTCCAGCGGAACGAAAACGACTGGCACAGCTAATAATAGCAGAGAAGCAGCACTCGTTGCGAGTGCTCGAAGCGGCAATGGCCGAGGCGCAAGCCGTCAAAATGAAGGCCAAGCAACGTGAGAAGCACCGCACGCAGCTTGAGGTAGAAGCCGAGAAGGCCGCTGAGGAAGTCGATTCGATGCTTAAAGATCAGGAAAGGTAGGCTTTTAGATTTTTAGATTGCACAGATAGTGATTTCTCTCTCTTTACATTTAATAATAATAATAATAACGCACACACTCAACATAGCCCCGCACTAGGGAAACCCTGTGTCGCGGGTGCCATGGACACACATAGACAACCACAAATTACACCCAAACTCACGAGAGAAATAAATGTAGGCCATACAAATATTTCTCCCGGCCCGGGAATCGAACCTGGGACCTCTGCGTGGCAGTCCGGCATGGTAACCGTTCGGCCACAGAGGCAGTTAAGATTCAAATTCAACTCTATTCCACAACGGTAAGATGGTCCAAAGTTTAAAATTAACAATGTTTATTTATAGGAAATGAAACTATTTTTCTGGATTTAAAGCACGTATATTTGTTTTGCAAGTCCCACGGTCACGGTTGACTCCAATCGTGACCATCGGACTTGCAAAGGGCCCGAAACGTTGGTTTGTTTGAAAAAACAAATATGTATACGTGATTTAAATCCGGAAAAATAGTTTCATTTCCATGTGTACCAATCGCGAAAACCTAAGAACTCGAAATGTTTATTTATTACAGAAACAAAATCATGGAATACTACTCAAAATTAAATATGGAGGTTGAAAAGAGTAAATTACACGCCGAATGGAAGATCAAACGATTACAATTAGATCAATCAAGGATGCAGCTATTGTCAACTGAAGAGAGAAATCTAAAAAGGGAGAAATTGGAGTTGGAACATAAAAGAAATGAAGAGATTATGGCTATGTCTATTCAAAGTACAGATTTGAAATCTGATGTTGAAAATGAGACAGATGACGCAGATAAACATTCTGATGTAATCAAGACAAACTCTACGAAATCGCACCTTTCAAGAGATAAAGAAAAAGATGAAGTATCTGATTCGGATTTAAATAAAGCAAAATACAAAACGGCTGTCTTTAGTGCCATATGTAATGTGGCAAAAAGTATCTTTGGTGGATCGAAAAACAACGAAGACGATGACTGTGATAACAAAAAGGAATTAGATGCACAAGGCAATGTCGTTCCTGTCGACAGTGAAAACAATAGTAATGAAACTAAAACTTCAAGTCAGGTAATAGGTTCATGCATTAATGACGTGTTTGATAATCTCCAGTATCTAAAAGTCAAAGGAGAGGCGATGAAAAATAAACAAAAAGTGATGGCTCACAAATTTGGTCACGTCGATATAGAGAACAATCAAACTATAGATCCTCCATTAATAAACTTGTCAGTTGATGGTGACAATAATGTCCCCGGTATGTGGAATGCCACTTATTTAGAAACAAAGCGTAACAAAATGAAAGTCCTTGGAGCTGATATTGGTTCTATCTGTTGTGCTAAGCCGTCCGTATCCGAACCTTTTACTGATGCGCAAAGAGAAGCCATGAGGAATAAAAAAAAAGTTCTTGGTGTGGAATACAATATTCCTATAGACTTAGGAGGAAAGAGAGAACCTGCAAATCAAGCTCAGGTAGAAGCTCTAAGGAACAAGGAAAAGATTTTAGGTTCTGAGGACATTAGACCGATGGAATCAACTCCTCGGCTGGGGCCTCCCAAACGTTCTGATTTGACCCTAAACTTGAAACCGTTTACCGTCGAAAATACGAGTGAATTTAACCTTGGAGTGACAACTAACACTGGGTTATTAACGCCAGGAGATTTGTTTCCTAGGGTAAGCTTATTTCAAATTAACTTATTTCTGGCATAATTGTTCTTTGCTTTAAAATATAAACTTTGGTTGTAATTACTGGCATAATGTTGCGTTTGATTTGTTGGATAATTAATCTGCTTTTGCAACTTACAATGGATTTTGCCAACAGCAAATTTCGTATAAGCATAGTACTTATTTTAGGTACTGTAATTATAAGCAAATTGAAATTATTTTTCGTATTATTCCAGCTTGATTTGGAAACACCGACTACGGCAGATATACCACTCGATGGAGCTTTAACAGGCGAGGCATTCACACCTCACAGTGAAGGCACCAGACTAGATACAGCTAGTATGAAGACTGACAAGGAATTCCTAAGGGGTGATGGTTTCGACTTTTCCATGATTGTTGATGAATCTGTCGAATCGATAGGCGATGTTCCTAGTGTCGATACTCCTGATAATTCCATTAACAAAGATGTAGAATTTGAACTAACCGACAAACATTCCTTCATCAATTTACTAGATGGCACGTACAGTTTAAAAAACATGGATCCGTTCGGAGTTAGAGATCTGAAACCATATACTAAAGACTATTTCTCGAGTAAAATGGATTTGACACCTTCAAATTATACTCATCCAGCGGTTATTATGGCGGAGATGAAGAAACGACCCTATGCTAATATGTTTGCCTCACATTTTGGCCCGGAAGAAGATGACGACCAAAAAGTTACTTGTGATAACATAGCCACACTGACTGCTTGTTTACAAAGATCGGTCATGTTACCTCTAACATATCAACTTGAAGTTGTAAATAACTCCATACTGACTTATTTTCTAGTCAATCTCGACATGTACGAGCATTTGAGGAGTTTAAAGGATTATTTCTTTCTGATGGATGGGGAGTTTTCTAAAAGCATATGTCAAAACTTGTTCACTCGTTTGACGAAAACATTGAACCCACAAGAACTGTTGAATTTTGCAACATTGCACAATGTTCTTGACAAAGCTTTGGGATGTTCGATATCTCGTAAGTTCTTGGATAATTTAACTATGATACTTTGTTATTCGTTTTAGTTATTCTAGAAATATAATGCGTCTTTTCAAATTTCAAGTATATACATACGTCCCTCTTTAGGTACCAAATTATAAGTTAAAATTGTATTAACCAAACTTACGTTTTCTCATATAATTTTTCTTCACTGCTAAGGGAAGTCTCTATTAACTGTGTTACGTGTCTTTTACAATTATTTAATTAATTCCAGATAATCACAAATTTTCGGAAAACCTCTCATTCACGATAACAGAATCTCCTCTGAGCTTCCAACACAGTTCCCCTGACGTACTCCAGTGTCTATCCCTGACGTATATAGTCAACTGGCCATTGAACATCATATTGTCACAAGAAGCGTTATTGCGATATGCCAAGGTGTTCCAGTTTTTGGTTAAAATGAGGAGAATTTGTTGGGTTTTGGGTGAGGATTTTGAGGTAAGAATGTGACGATGCGACCACTTTCATCATCGTCCCACCTTTTTATCACCCTTTTCTGTGGTTCTTGGCCACCTACTTTGAAATTTTCAATCGTTCTTAAATTCCTTATTCTTTTTCGTCACTTTTCTTTTTTCCATCGCCACTCTCTACTAAATTTCCGAAGTGAGCACACGTGCTCGCCTTGACATAAAATTCTGAACAGTTAAATCATGTCACCTAACCTAACTAACTGCCTCCGTGGCCGTATGGTTACCATGCCGTCACTGCCACGCAGAGGTTCTGGGTTCAAATCCCAGGCCGGGAGAAATATGTGTATGCCTTACATTTATTTATCTCATGAGTTTGGGTGTAATTTGTGGTTGTCTCTGTGTGTGTCCATGGCAACTGCGATACAGGGTTTCCCTAGTGCGGGGCTATGAGTGTGTTGCGCTATTATTATTATTAACCTATCTGCTTGTAAAGTATTATATTTGTAGTGCTATTGAAAATCATGTAACCAAACAATTACGCGAGGCCCGCGTGACTAGAATATGAACTTTATTGTAATAAACACACGTCCCCAATATATACAATATGTGTACATATTGATTATGTACTGACCTACCGCTTAACTGAGTCTGTTTCTGTGGTAGATGCGCGGTGCGGGAGGAGTGACAGTTATGTCGCGCTGCACACAAGATAATTTCAATAAAAATTTTCTGATGATATTCAATAATAAGTTGATTGACAAAAGTGCCTGCCAAATTAGTCAATTGCTGTTATTTGAAACAATATTATATTTCATTGATAATTGAAATAAATGGACAAGCCATTTGGTACTGTTTTCAATTAACTAAAAAAAAATCTTGTTAAACTGTTACTGCTCCTCCACCGCGCAGCTACGTCAGAAACTGACTCAGTTAAGCGGTAGGTCAGTACATAATCAATATGTACACATATTGTATATATTGGGGACGTGTGTTTATTACAATAAAGTTCATATTCTAGTCACTTATTACTTTGGTTCACGTATAATGTTTGTGAAAAATCAAAAATATATTATTTTGTAAAAATTTTGCGAGTGTTGCACAGACAAGAGCAATCCTCACAAATTGGAACTTCGAGCGGTTTTAAATAGGGTTTATATGTGTGTAACAACTCTTATGAATTTCATTACTACGCATGGGATTCCTTTAAAGAAATATTACATCGTAGTTCATCACGATAGCCCAAATCGGTTTTCGGTACATTTTTAACAGTTCAAATTAAATTGTTACATTTCTCGCCACTTTTTTTATTCATACTTAGTAGTAATATTTTAAACCAAAGAATAATTGTCAGAAAAAAGTTATGTCGAATAAACTTACTTTAGGAAACAGATCCCCTGGACAATTAGTCGTACACGAATTATCACATTACAATGTGATAATTTTTTAATAAATAATTGTTTCTCGGTACATTTTTAATAGTTTTAATAAAAGTAAACTGTCACCTTTATTTTGAACCCTGAAATGGTGGCTTGTAATGTGTTTTGACAGTAGAAAAAAAAATTATGATGTCAAAGCGAGACGCCTACTAACATTTCGCATCCTCATGGAAGAATGGCATAAGTGGAATTACCTTAAAACGTATTTATTGCTCCATTAGATACAGAAAAATATAACCTACATCCTTCACAATTGGAGAGGATGTGGGTTATATTTTTCTGTATCTAATGGAACAATGAACATGTTTGACGTAATTTCACTTATGCCATTCTTCCTTGTGGCGTGCGATTTGCACTGTCACATAGCGCTTAGTTTCACCGGTAACTTTACTCTTCATAACCGGAACGCAGTAATGCTTACATGACTGCTTGGTGGCAGAAGTAGCTGTGCTGGCAGTCCTTGTGTGGTAAACGAATTCTTTCCCAAGGAGCAGCATTGCTACATTCTTTAAGATTTATCAACCTGGCGAGGATTTTTATTGCTAATCATGCGTAAAATGTATAGTCGCAACCGTCAGGGTTTAGAACTGAATCTTTAGACATCCCTTGAGCAGATTTATTTTATTAATTTTAATGATCGAAATGGGCACTAGGCGAAACGTAGGACAGTTTCTACATAGTGTGTTTGCAGCCCGAGTGTCCTAGCATCACTGTCCTCTCTCGTCTACCACCACCGTTCCCCACCCACACTCCGTCGAGGTATACCGGCAGAGAGAGCGCGCGATACACTCTGTAACCTGCAGGTGGCGCCTCTATCTCGCAGTTTTTCGTCTGTGCTCGTGACCGTTTCCGACATGTAAATAAGTAATTGTCATTATTTTTTGCAGACGTTGAAAATTGCGGCAAAAGTATCAAGACAGCACTCTCGAAAACTCATAAAGTCTCCACAATACGTATCAATACAAATATATCGACACGTCATGGCCTCAATGGTACGCGCCCTCGACAACTACATAGTAACAACGTGCATTCTATCCTCATGGAAAGAGTTGGAGAATGATTTGAAAAAAGCCAGAACGTTAGACGATTTGTATGAATGTCACGTTGTTTATATAAAAAAGGTCCTGTTCAGATGTCTGTTAAATAACAGATCGACGCCTGTTATGAAGCTTTTGAATGACATTTTCACAGTTATCTTGAAGTTCAGTCGACTGTTGAAAGCTAGGTAAGAAATTATTAATGCCATTTTATTGTTAAGTTCAACTTGTAATAATTAGATTCTGTTAATATTGAGTCTTAATTCACGTTCTGTCTTTATTAACTGTTCTACGACGAGGCGGGCGAAAAAGCATTATCGACTGTGAACTGGTAACCTATCTCAATTTTGACAACTTTGCACGATGAAGAAAAAAATTGTTTGCGTCATTTATATAGCAGTTGGTTTATTAAATAAAAATACGTAGTGTATGTGTAATAAAAATATTTAAAAACTATTTTTTATACTAATAATTATTACAGCGGGACACGAGCCTAAAAACGGGAGTGTTCGGGTTAAAACGGGACGTATGGTCACGTTAGGTATAAGTAACATTTGTATTGTATACTATTGCGTGTTATTATTACATTTTTTTTTCTAGCGAATGGCATCAAAAACAACACAATGGTCCCTTCACGCATAGAAGCTATCCCCAATTGCAAGAACTCTTCCACATATTCGAGAAACTGGCGAAATATCTACACAAAGTGGTTACTAAAATGATGGAATGTGGTTACCAAAGACATCTTGGCGAATTACTCACTATGGTCAACCTGAATGGTTATTACGACTCAGAAAGATCGAAAGAAGAACAAAGTAGTCACTTGCAGTCTACATGAAGATGTAATATCTGATTTATCTTAATTTTAATCACGTTCTAAACTCTGAAGGGAGAAGATATTTTAAATCAATTTTTTTATAATGGTCGCAGAAGATGTGTACCAATTTTTGTATTTTCTGTATTTTTTTTTATTTACTATAAGGCTTTTTGCATTTATTGTAGGTTAACATGTGTCATATTTATTCCCACCTGTTGCGCTGTAACCGTTTAATCGTATTTTGTTATTTATGAGGATTAGGACGTGTATGTACATGCAGTCGAACCTGGTTATAGCAATCTGAAATTACTGGACTTTAACATATTCACGTTCAGGAATTACAGTCAACTATATAAACTGCCATTTATTTAAACTGAGAAATTGAACGCTATGAAAATGCCGTAAGGCACAATTTACAATTAAAAAATGCATGTGGTATACTGTTATTTTCCTGAATACCAATTTGAAAACCAATATATTTACCTAAGGGTTCCGGCACTCAAAAGCGATTCCCGCGATGTTGCCAGTTTGCTACGTTCGGCTGCGGCCGTAAATAATTGTTTAATTGCATTTTAATAATTACATGTAAATCAGATGAAAGAGATACATTTATTAATATAAAATAGTTTAATTAAATATCTGAATAATATACCGGTGTACAGTTCTTACAAAAACTTATATAATTATTGTTATCATAAGCCATTTTTTTAACCGACTTCAAAAAAAGGAGGAGGTTAACAATTCGACTGTATGTTTTTTTGTACATATGTTACGCGATAACTCTGGTATTTGTGAACAGATTTTGATGATTATTTTTTGTTGGAAGGAGGGTACCTCCGTGGTCCCATTTATTTTTGAAATAAATCATCCACCTCTAAGGGTGGCTGTTCACGCATGAAGATTCTTTTTTATAAATAGCGCCTAAATTTTATTATAAGGAGCAATTTTTTTAATGGTTTAGTTTGCTATTCTCCAATTCAAGGCGTTTTTCTCTCTAAATATACGTCGAGTAGTGTGAACCGATGTTTATTATCTCTTGTGTCAAGTTCCATATAGTGGCAAACTAGGGGATGAATCCGGGTTTGCGCACTTTCCGGTAACCGATTTCAATAAAACTTGGCAAATAGATGAATTCCACGTACTTTTGAGGTAATTTTTTTTTAGTACTCTGCACAGAGATTATTAAAATACAGGTGTAATTTATACCGGTAACAGTGGCGAGGAAAGAAAATTTTGCTTGGTAAATCCGAAGCTTTAACTTTTTGAAAAACAAAACAACACGTTAACAAAAACTTTTCCTATTAAAAAGGCGCCTTGTCGACATTAAACACAACTCTTATTAGCACATAAGATACTAGTTTACTTCATTTCACAGGTTAACTTGTTCTACACACAAAAAAACCCATAGCTTTTAAAGTAATTTTACATTTTAAGCTGCCCGTCGCGATACGAAAGTTGGTAAACAAACTCATGAATGCTAAGTGTTGCTATTTTAATTACCTACGAATTACCATGACCTTCTATATACATTCTTTACGTAGTCCTGTTAAAAAGAAACCCCCAATTATATGTAAATACATATGTTATCTTTAAGATTAACAAAATGAAAAATAAACATATTTTGTATGAATTTGCTATTATAGTAATTTTGTTACATTATTTTAAGAAAAATTACATACGGCAACAGGATTTTGAAACGAATTAAACTATAATATGTTGGAATAAGATTTATAATTTTAAGTGAATGCTATTCTACAATAACTCGAATTATTCTGGCTTCTCGGCCGCCATTCCTATAAATGTTATTAAGCGGATTTTTGCGAATGTGTGCGTATATTTTGATGGGAGCGCGGTAGATTTCATGAATGAAATAGAGCTCGTCGATCCGCCGGCTTACCTCGCGTTGATTGGTTCAGATGCATCGGGAGAAGTTATTACGCGTTTAGTGTGGTAATACACATCCGATTTTTTGTCTGATGGTCGGAGCCGACTATCGGATCGGATTCACTTAATACACGTCCGATTCGCGTCCGATTCTTTCGTCAGACTATTTCTGAACTAACTGTAGTGTTGCCAATTTATGGGGAATTCCCCAAATACAGGGAATTACAACTCAACAACTCGTTAGGGAATTTTGTTTGGATCACGCTATGTGGGGAAAATGCCCTCGCAATTTTATTTTATCTATATATTTAATTATATATAATTTATTTTTATATTTTTTCAACATCGCACACGCGCTGCTTATATAGCAACATTTGTATGGAATTATTAGCAAACCGATTATATGTATAAAATTATCCAGTAGAATTAGAATCACTTTCTCTTGAATTGTAAAATTACTACTATTATCAGTCACCGACAAGAGCCTGGCTCTTAAATGTCCCCGGTGTGAAAAAAGAATACAGCTGTTGCCGAACAAAGCCGAGCAGTAGGTATTTTAAAGGACTATCCACACACATCAGGGCCGTGCCCGGGACGTGGACGGGGCGTGCTAGTTTGTATGAACTGCGGGCTCGTCCCGGCGCCGACCCGGACACGGACATGTGTGAACGAGTTCATACAAAATAAACGCAACGATATTTTTTTGAGCCCCTGACGAAGCACAACCCGTCCACGTTCTGGGCACGGTCCGGATATGTAAATATAGACCTTAACACCACAACTTGCCACTCGTCAAGCTTAAATATTAAGGTTTAAACTTAATTCAACTTGTTGAGTTTATTTCTAATTATAGCAAAACGTTTAGGTAATAGATGGGCATATTTTGACTTTCGTAATTATTTGATATATATTTACGCGTAAGAATAATAATATAATAAATAAATATTATTATATGTGGTAAATATGACCTTTGCCCTCCCCAAATTCATTACCTTGATTTTTGAGGATTTTGAATAATTTGTATTGGCAACGCTGCAAATCGGAGGGAAGAATCAGACGTGTATTTCGTCTTCCCGCAAAAGTACATAGAGCGCGGCTTCAGACAATCGGATCGGTAATAAAATCGGACGCTATTTCCGACTCAGACGCCACGTCACATCCGATCCGATAATCGGATGGGACGTGTATTGAGTGTTCATACAATTATATGGTACAAGCGCCTTCCGGTAGTCGGATCAGAGTATCGGATCCGACTATCGAATGGAAAAAACGGACATGTTGGTCGTCACCAAATAAGAGGCCATATTTGGCAGCTAACGAAGACGATAGTGTGTAACTTTGAATGAGATCAACGAAACAATACACAAACATTTAGCATAATTGAGTTTAAAAATACATAAATTTTATTGAAATATTATATAATACGACAAAACAAATTTGAAGTAGGTACTATTTTCGCACGAATTCCAAAATAAAATACAATTTTGAGTTACTCCGAAACGTCCTGAAAACAGTTACGTTTTCCAGCTATTTTTTCTTAAATAATAGTGTTGTAACAATTAATCACCGAATTTCACCGAGTCACTTCGATTTATCGGAAAAAAATATTATCTTATTAAATATTAAAACGAAAATGTATAAAAATAGGTGTATTTTAAAAAATTATGTAGATTACATCTCTGACCACACCTATTGCAAATAAATTTATAATTTATCAAATTTAAAAGAGCCCCATACTCATCCTCCTAATAAATCCTTGGGTTTTTGGTAATTTAATCTTTTTATATAGTTGTTTTATCGATGAACATACTTATTTACATTAAATTTTCGTAATAAACCATTTATGAATGGATTTAAGAAATGGATGCAATTCATCGGAATGTGGGACATTTTTACGACTGAATTGCAAGGAATTCTGTAAATGAATTGCTTTTAACAGAATTGCACGATTTGGCTTTTTAGACCTCCTAAACAACAATGAATCGAAAAATAATTTAAACAATCACAAACTTTTAAAATTTTGAATCGATTTCTCGTGAAAATCGTTTATTGTGATTACCGACATGATTAGTCCACATCGCATTCGCCTCACGATAATAAGTGTCAAATTTGACCTCTTATTTGGTGACCACTTTAATAGTGATGTTTTTTAAGTGGTGAGGTATGCGCGCTGCCACTTGTAATAGGTATGCGGAAAATTTTAGGCAAGCCGGTGGGAATCAAGTTATATGAACGCCTCGCCACTGACCGGTAGTACTTCAACAACCGATACCGATATTCCAAGCCCTGTTTAGGGGAGACCCATATCCAGTGGTGGATTGATATGGGTCAAGTTGCTTAAATTGCTGAATTAACTATTGAATATTTCGTAATTATTTAAAAATTAGTCACAATTAACACGCGAATAATTATTGTACACGATTGTTCTTATATTGGACGTTTAACTGCTATGTATTGTATATTGATTGTTAATTGTTCTTTGACGCAGAATAGCTATACATTCTTTGCATGTAAATAGTGAAGAGAGATAATTCAGTAATAGAATTATTGTCTTGTGAAAGATGTGTAGCGTGCGTTCTTATCTCTTTGTTGTCCGTAGCTTGTTATGTAAAGTTGATTCCTTGTTCGTGTTATTTCATGCAGAATACAATCTTACTAATATTACTAGATCTGTCTACGCTTGCTATGAATGAATAAAATTGTTATTTTTATTTGGTGTTATTTTTTTATTGAGAGTTTTATGATTGTTGATCATAAACGGTTTTGTTCTATAGAGTATAACTCGGAGATGCACATGATCTTCATCAGCTCATTTCATTTTTCCATCGGACATCCAGACGTACAACGGAATATCATGCCTACTTGGTCGATATTCCTTTCAGGCATAGGCACTAAGCGCTTTTCGTGATCTCTTATTATATATTCAGCCCAGGAATGTTAATCCTTCTCTGCGTTTGTGTTTCCAAGATCGTACAATCCGAGTATGTTTAAGGTGCGACTGAATCTTCTTGGGCGAGGACCCTATCTTTGCTTCAGGGCAAGGTAGACGTCTTGAGCAAGTCTATTTATTTTTAAAAAATCAGGTGAAAAAAGAAAACAAACCAGGACTGAAACAATTTACAAACAACAACCAATTCAAAGATTTGAACCAAGCTGAAATTTGAGCATCCATGATGGAAAGAAAACCATACTACATCTATGAAGAAAACGTATCACACATAAGAACTATCACTGACAGTACTATGTTGTCGATGAGCAGGGAATGCAGTTCTACAAATGCCCAGGAGATGTCATTTTAAATTGAAGCGTTGAAGTTACCGCCATCTATGGTCGAATATAATAAGTGTGTTTTGTTTAGCGCCATCTATTGTGGAGTAGCGATGACTAGTTACTGTTCTCGTGGTAAATTGCGGTATTTATCTTTTATACTAACTGATAGTTTATCAAATAATATATATATATATATATACCCGCCTTTTATAGTAATCTCATGTAGTTTTCAAATAATTTAGATAAACAACAAGAGGTAAACTGTGCTACCAATTTCAGCCACTGCGACAGTGGCGCCAATATTTTCCTTATATCAGTGTGTATTTTCACGATTCACCTCATTCCACTGCAATACGTCTTGGGGTTAACATCTGATCGAAATCAGACATCGCTCTTGACATTGAAGTAAAGCATTTCCTCCCTCGGTGCTTCGTTTACTTTTAGAAAATCAATATTTATACCTAACTTTCAAATCGGAAAAACAAAATTTCCGTAAAAAGCAAAGACAGTGAAAACAAACAGTGCTCCTCGTCTATCGATCGGCAAGCCGCCTTCCGCTACACGGCGATACTTTCTCGCTGCAGCGCAAGCAGTGCATCACTAAAAACGTTCAGACCGAAGAGCAACCGCCGCCGCCGCCGAGATGGCGTTCATGATGCCTGTGGTGAAGAACGACTGGGATATTTACAACTCGCGGCGCAGTTCCGAAGGGCAAGAAAAGGCTGGCCCCGGCCGGCGTGTGCGGAAGGTATCGGAGTCGCGTTCAGAGGGTCCGACGATGTCGCCTCGCGTACCGTTGAGCCCCCATCGCTCGGTGCCGGCGATGCGATCGCTGTCGTACTGCCGTGCGCCACCGTCGAGGGCCTCACTGCGCGTGGGGCTCGACAGCCCGAAGGGTTCGGCTAGTCCTAAGCAGGCACCGTCGCAGGACAAATTCCACAGCAGGTTGGTGGAGAAATTGAAGCGAGCGCTGGGACGGTCGGACTCGCGGCGCGACGAGCGCTGTTCCTGAGTTAACCCGTGCTCTTGTGCAGGGCGCGCGCCGAGTCCCCCGAGCGCAGCTCGCGCTGCGGAGCCTGCGTGCCCTACCTGTAACGGCGCCGGCCCTGCGCCGCGTCCTGCCGACGCGCTATCTGTGATATGTTGCGATAGTGACCCGAGTTGAGTAGACTTTTGAATTTGCTAACTCGTAACCGCCTGTGGGAACCTATTAATCACGTTTGAAGTTACATCGATTCAATGCAATAGTGTTAGATGACATTTCAATAAGCTTCATTAACTGTTGCATGTTCGTTATCTGTACACCTATCTATCTATATTCTTTTGTTTAGATCGGAGTCATCTTGAAAGGTTGTCAGTATTAGGTTGTAACTAGGCTGGCTGTTGAATGTATTTAAGACTGCGTTTAGTTTAAGAAGCCATATTGTTTCCCCGGGTTGTATACACCGTAGCATGGGTTCTTTAATAATTTGTTTATGATCGAGAGCATCCCGGCGGTAATAAATACCTTAGCGTTTAGTTTTGTGGCAGTTTGAGATGGTTCTGTGATTTGTTATTTATAAGTTTTGTTGTGGTGTTATTTATTTTATCGGAGAGTCATTATTTTGAGTTCATATTTATGTTGTTACAGTGTTTTGAACACCACTTAAATGACATGGTACCTCGTAAGAAATTCCAAAAATTTTACTAACCTGTTTTTTTTTGGATTTTCTAAAAAGAAGACTTGTTTGATAATAATAATCGTGTTCGAATTGACATTAATAATATTACTGATACCTTTTTATACATTGTTGTAGAGCATATAATTATAGTGAAAATTGACGTTATTGAAAATTGTATTCAATACGACACTGGTAGTTATGGGGATTTTCCACTGTCAGACTTCACTTTCGTCATAGTTGTTCATTGATTTATTTTTAATTTGTTTTACATTCGATATGTCTATAATTCTGATACATTATACCTACTTGAGTAGAAATCATAAACTACTTTAAATGATTTTAAAATTCCTTGAAACCGCGACGGAAAGGAAAAATGATTAATACGAAACTATTTCTATGCTTTAAATTAATAAAATGTACGGGGTATCTAAAACAAAAAAAAAAACGTAAGCTATGTATGTTTTTTGTTACATTTTGCATGATTTTATGTGATGTTAGTTAGAACTACGTATTTATAACGACTGTAATCGGACCAGCTTTATTATTATAATAGAGTATATGAGTCAGTTAAACTGAAGAAAAATGGTTTGTAAGTAGCATATTTATAGTATTAATAAGATGTGAAATGTCATCGAAAGAGTTTATTAACACTATTCTAAATTTTGTGGCATATCCTGAGGAACACTTTACCATAATCTATTTCCGTATAACTTCATGGCTGTAACTATAGTAATCGTGTGTTAATTTGACAGTTTTCTATGGAAATGCCATAGCGATTGTACCTGTCGTTACTATAGACAAACGTCATAAAATCAAGAGTGACGAATGAAGTTATTTATCATCTGTACCTATCTATCATGTTACATATAAGATGTTCCTGTTTTTATCAATTAAAAAATCGAACTGCCTACTATTTACAATTTTTTAATGTTACATGATACCAAATGGTACAATCTTAGATAACACTATTAATCTAAGGGTACAATATACTTGGAGTATCAAATATTTAATATAAAATTTAGCTAATCGTTAGTATTGTCAGTGTATAAACGTCTTAACTTTTTGTATGTCGCATGAAATTTGCAGTGTCCGATCTGACGACTTTTTAAGTACCTATATAAAATTACAATAAAATTTTATTGCTTTAACTTAAATGTGTTCTTTTATTTCAAGTCATCTGTTTTATTTCATAATTTAAATGCACGTCTATTAACAATTGCTATTTAGCGTAACAAGCCAATAAACGAAAATGGGACTCACTTCTGCCGCATGTCAGACGAGTAGCGGGCGAAGGCCACCGCAGATAGATCCCCAAAGATAGAAAACGACCACGCGGCAGGCCAAACCGTCGATGGAGAGACGAGCTAGACGCGCACCTGAAGGACTGGACCTCAGTGGCATAGATGTGTGGAGAGAGGAGAGGGATAGTATAGGCTTTAAAAAAATAAATTAGCATATATATCATCATCAGGCACGGTATAATGAAGGCGCTGGTCCGAATCCAGCCAGATTGAAGGATTTTTTTCTTAGTGTTCGATCTTTGTATTAATAATTTTAACAAACTAGTGGACTAATTTCACAAAAAATAATAAATGTCAAGGCAGTTAAACATAGTTTCCCAAAGTGGTCCCTACTGCCCCCCAGTGGGCGTTGAAGAGAGAAGAGAGAGGGCGGTAGCATTTGGGGCGGCGTTGGTGCTGTCCAGGGAGTGCTATCACATTATGAAAAAAAAAAAAACCTGTATTGTCTATATAAACTACACTACATATATATACAATATTTTCCTCTGTGATTTTTTGTTTTTAGTTAAAATAAAAAAATACGTGTTTTTAATTCTTTTTTGTGTCGCCCACCAGGTGTTAAAATTTTTTTATCTTGCCTAAGTGGGTTTTTGGCTCACCACAAAAAGTTTGGAGATCTATGTAGAAAAACATCGTGCTATTCAATAAACTTAATATTACAAATGATATATAATTATAATTCGTTAAAATGTTTTCGTTTGCGGTTCCGAAAAGAAATTCTACTTGAAGAAGTCCATAATCAGAATTTATGCGTGTTACGTATACGATGTGTTAACAACTTGGACGCTCATTCTAAACATCAATACGAACAACATTTGGTCTTTAATTACAACTTGTAAAGATATAGCAATAGTACTTATGTAGTTGTTTGTACTTTTGCAAATATAAAACAAAGCCGTAAAAGTTATGTAGAGCATAACAGATTTACGACTTCGCCACATTACAGGATATATTAAACCAAAACATGAACTTACGCGACGGTAACACACTGTTTTTTCAATTTAAACTACATGAATACTTTTAATGCATTAATATTATAGTCTAAAATAGCTTGAGGTGTCTCATCAATGTTGGAAAATATTTGCAATGGATGGGGTCGTAGTGATCGCTAGGAAACTTTGCACTATCTATAGAACATTCGAGAAAAGTTCATCACGACGATTTTACTCTAAAATGTAAACAGTTTGATCTTGTTTTTGATGTTAGTTAGATCAAAATTTTATCATTTTAATTTTACTGAGACTTCAGTAGTATGTTTTCTAATTCTTTTTTATATCCGTGACCCACTTAGCGGACAGCCATCAAACAGATTTTGTGTATGAATCTTAGAGGATGGAAAAAAATGGTTACTATAGTCTAATCTAAGGTATGAACTAATGAAACTCAATTACATTCCATAGACACGATATAAAAACGTATATATTGGGGCGTGGTTTGTCAGTTTGACTAAGTTATATAATTTTTATTAAGTTTTGTTTTAGTAAGTTAAATTTTGACTAAGTTATACAATTTGAATAAGTTTCCAAAATAGCACGGCCCCAAATTTTCATACAAAAGACGCCATTATTTGTTAATTGTTAAAAGACCGTAGAGCGTTTTTATAAATTTTGAAGGAGCTTAGAAAAAGATAGCGAATTCATTTTCTTAAACAAAGTTGTCTACATACCTGCCATAATATTTGAAATAATATCATACTACGAAATACCTAACTGATCCGCCGTGCGTTCTAGGAGAGTCTTCTTAGGCAACATTTAGGTACTATCAGCATGTTTTATTTGCAAGTGGACATATGCCCCGTTCCTTATTTTGTTGACCCTTTTCATTGTGAAACCCTTTTCATAGAATTGTTTGGTTTATAATAAAAATATGATATGCTAAATATTTGTAAACTGCATACTGCAATTGACCGGTTCTCACCGCCGTTGCCTGTACGCAAACGTATCGATTTTGCTGATAGTACAGGTTGTAAGGTTCATCGCCTACTGACAAGATGGCAAAGAATCCTTTGGCATTCCTGCATGCAAGCGAACACTGACGGCAATTATGCCGCGGCATCCTTTTGGTATGCCGAACATATTATATAGATATTTTTTGTTCTCGCTAGCCTTTCTTCAGATCAGTCGTAACGTAGCAAGTTGGTTTATTACGAGTAATAGTATTTTAAAATCTTGCTGAAGAAGAAAACAGTCACTTATATTACAAGAAGGAGAAGATAATGGGTGAACAACTTAGGGAAGCCTGCCGAAGAATCCTGAAGGCAGCCATCGCATTCCGGAGGTAGCCGGCGCGGTATCTCACATCATATATATTTTGTTTTTGTAGCTACGACCATTATCATCGAAATTTTAACTACAATGTCATAACAATAAGGTACCTACTTGTACTATTCGTCGCTAGAAAATTCCCAACCGTGCCGTCCAACCAATGGGCGCCCGGCCTAATCGGGGAATACGTTCAAAATTTTTTTTCTTTAAATACACAATATTGTTCTATAAATAAATTAGAGGTCTTTCCACGAGATACAATTTCCTCTTTTAACTATTCTAATTGACATTTGGTAATCATTTTGGGCAAAGTATTTTCGTAAAAGGTCGTTCGTATTAGGTCCTTAACTTTTCTAGTTGTGTCGTTTTCATCGACATCGATCGCGCATTGATGAGAGGAACGAATTGATGGCTATGTTTTAAGTAAACTATTACTGTGGTTTTGTAATAAAAGCTGTGACCATGTTTCGTCTGATCGAAGTATATAGGGTGGCAAATACCAGGGGTTATGTTGGCTGTGATCCCTGCTACCAACAATTGATGTTTTGTGATGAAAGTAAACAATATTAACAACAATAAAAATTCTCTAAATTTAATATCATCGCGCGACTAAAAAAATTTTAGTTTAAGTTATTTTTTATCATGATACCAGTTGTTTGTGTTCACACCTTTTTGCACTTTATGTATACAGGGTTATTTGTAAAATACTAACAACCCCGCAGGACTATATCGCCGGTGTTTTGAAGGAAGGGCGAATGCGCCATTTTGAAAAAAAATTTCAACGGCATGTTTTACATTTTGAAGACTATTTGAAATAATTAATTACTTCCTACTTTAAAACCAATTGGTTTTAATTGAGTTTAATATAAGACATAAATATTTTAAAACAGTCGATAAAACCTAAAACATGCTCCCTGAAAACAATTTCAAAATGGCGTTTTCGCCCTTCCTACAAAACACTGACGATATTATTACTAACGCCATAGACAACAACTTTTGTTCCGTGACTTAGTACAAAATGTAATAAATTTACTAAAAATAAACTTTTAAGTTTTTATAAGAAATTTCATAATTTTTTTTGCTGATTTAAATCGCGTATATTTGTTTTTTCAAACAAACCAACGTTTCGAGGTCTTTACAGGTCATAGTCACGGTTAATTGTGATACACGGACATTAACTTTTTGTTGTACTATCTGACACTTTTTAGATCTATATTTGGCAGTAAGTTGAAACGTGCAAGCGTCCTCCCCGACGACCCCCACTTTCTTTTCTTAACGTACAGTGTTATCACCATTGAGAGGCATCTATTTAAATATTTTTATTTTTGTACGAAAGCAAAATATTATGATGAATTATTAAAAGTCATGGAACAGAATTTGCTGTTTATGATGTTAGTAATTATAAAAAATAGTAATGTTCTGCCAGATTGTTAGTATTTTACGAACAACCATATTATAGGTATGTGCGTCATTGTTACATATAATACATATTTTTTTCGTATACGTTATGTTCGCTGTACGTGGTGTTTTTGTTTAGTACCTATATATTTTTTATCAAAGACATTGCTAAGTGGACACTAATTGGACGTATCGTAACATGGCCAGTTTCTGATGATCTTAGGTGGATATAGGAGATTTACCGTTTAACCATAGTAGTGTCAAGACGAATAGTTCCGTATCCCTACAATCGACAGTTTTACTGCGATTGTTACGTTAACCCTCCGTGGTACGACAGGCTCTACGTTGTAAAAAGGTACACACAACTGTCAGAGATCATTTTAGAATAGTGGAACTAAATATTGCCAACATTACTTGGCAGAAACCTTTCATCATGTTGTCCAAGACCGTTACAAGATACGAATATTTTCCTGACGTGTTGTAGAGAACACGTGTTGACTACGTGATTTAACGATTTCAGAATGTTAGATGGCATG